TTGGACCAAGGTCTGTGGTCTTCATGCTCTCTTCCTGCCCACAGCTTCAGGATGTGCTGAGTTGGATGCAGCCTGGAATTTCTATCACTTCTTCTTTTGCTTTGAGCCAATATAGTGTGGACATGGGGTGGCCACTCCCAGGTACCAGGGCCATCTGGAAAAAATTAGGAATTTGGGGGTGGAATATGTAGGCTGAGGCCTTTTGAGACAGCCAGCCCCTTGGAAGGATTACATTGGCTTAAGACCCAGGAAACCAGACTGAGTTTATGTGTTACTATCTCTTCTCTTTATAAGGAACATTCTTTTCTTTCTAGAGTGCTCTGTTACTAATTCAGTGAACATGTCAGAGCCCATGGAGCCCAGTCCTCAGCAACCAAGACCAGCACTCCATCAGCCTGTGCCAAAAGCCAAGCCTGGCCCACACCTTCCTCACAGAGCAGCCTCAAGAAAGCACCCAGAACCTTTGGCTGGCCACCACTTCAATCTGGCCCCTCTAGGCCAGCGAAGAACCCAGTCCCAGTGGGCATCCAGTAGGGTAGGCCATAAGGAGCGCCCCACAGTCATGCTATTCCCCTTCAGGAATCTGGGTTCACCAACCCAGATCATATCTAAACCTGAGAACAGGAAAGAACAAGGGACACACATGGCAGTTCCAGCAGGTGACGTCAGCACGAGAACAGCCTCCACTGGAAAGTCTAGGAGTCCATCCCAGACCCTGGGCAGAGGGACTGTGAAGGAGAACCCAGCTGACTTGTCAGCCTCGGAGCAAAAGGAGTGAGTGGAACAGTTGCTTCTGCCTACTGACAGCACATGCCTTGCCTGCTTTCCCTCCATCCTCTCTTCTTTGCTTGTTCCCACCCCAGGGATTGCTGGGACTGCCCCATGGAGCCCCTGAGACTGTCATTATCACCTCCTAGGGCCAGGAAGCCAGGTAGGTATACTGAGTCAGGACTGGATCAGACAGCCTCCTCTCTTGGGACGCCTGAGGGCCTGTGTTCACCTAGAGGAGTACTTTGATTCTGGTTTCCCTCTTGCAGTGTGTCCCCCATCTCTGTGCAGCCCTGTCATTACCATAGGGGACTTGGTTTTGGACTCTGATGAGGAAGAAAATGGCCAGAGGGGAGGAATGGTGAGTAGGGAGGAACAGAAAGCTGGGGAAAGAAGGAGATGGGGCAGAACAAGACAGAAACCCTGAATACAGAGGGCTCAGGGAATGTTTCAGGTGACAGGATCTCCCTGCTCCTTTCTCTGCAGTTGTCTCTGGAAAACTATGAGAAGACAAAGTTTGACACCCTAATCCCCACCTTCTGTGAATATCTCCCCTCTTCTAGTCCCAGTGCTGTCTCTGCCCCTTCCCATGACCATATAGGACCAGAATGCCATGTGCATCTTGCCTGACTCCTTCCTCCTAACCTCTACAGGCAGTTTAGTGGGGATAAAGTGGAAGCCCAGGCTTGGGTTGTTTGACTATATGGCCCAAATTACTTTGTAACGCTTGATCATTAAACTTTCTGTTTGTTAAAACACTGTGTTGCTGTGAGGGAGGGGAATTAAGGCTTCTATAAGGTCAGTATAAATCATTCCTTAGAAACATAACTGGCCTCTCCAGGCTAAAAGACTCCCTTTGCTCTTTTACTTCCTTTGGAAAGTGTTGTTCAGGTGTATCAGAGAGATTACCAGGGCTGAGAGCCTGGATGAGAAACTTCCTTTTGCTATTCTGAAAATATCTGTGTGTCCTGATGCCAGAATATATACTCTGTAAATTTTCATGCTGCCAGGTTCTCTAGAGGGTTAGCACATGAATGGAGATGCTTCATAGAAAAAGTACTTACTGTCCTTGACTCCACTGGGTCAGTGCCATCTCCACCTCCACTTTCCTGGAGCCAGCACCCAGACGCCAGGCTTGTGTAGAAAGCCCCAGAATCTCTTTACAGTCACTAGGATCTCTCTTTATAGAGACACTTAAAAAATATAAACACTTAAGAGCTTTTTAGATATTCAAAGATTGCATTTAATGAAGCTGATTAGCAAAACATGATTCTAAAAGCCTACCTCTTAAGACCATGGCCATATCTAAAACCTTTATGTACTGTATGAATTACTATCTTTTTCTTTTAGTAATCTTCAGAAGCTGAGTCTCCAGATTCCCATTTGATTATCAACTTCATTTTCTCAGCCTGCCTTCCTTGCTTCCTCCCTAGTGAGTGCGTTTTGTGGATGCAGATAGACACATTATTGCAGGAACTCTCAGGAGTGAGATGATCACATAACAGTCACAGCAGCTGGGATGGGTGAGGGGTCCACGTTGGAGGCCCTGCAGTTTGATGCTGGTGCCTTGGGAGGGCAGACCTGCTCAGACCTAGCTCACAACACTGAAGCTTGGATTCACCTGCTGGGTGACACGGATGAAGGTAGTTCTCCGACTCAGCTCCTTCAGCTTAGCTGCTCCTACATACGTACATGTGGAACGGATGCCTCCAAGTATGTCTCGGATGGTATGTTCCACATCCCCTCTGAAGGGCACCTCCACCGTCTTTCCCTCTGAGGACCTTAAAGGAGGAAAAATTTTCTTTTTCCTTCTGGATTCCTTAAGCCAAATGACTCTTCCTCAGTCCATTGCATTAAGCCCTGGTTCACCACTTTTCTCCCAACAACTATACCATCCATCTCTCAGCAGCCCTGAGTTCTGCCACCACCCTACTTAGCCACACCTTCCAAGAACTCTCAGCTCCTGGGCCTCTACACGTACCTGTACTCAGCAACGCCCCCAGCATACTTCTTCATGGCTGTTTCAGAACTCATTCCGTAGAAGAGCTTGTATTTTTTGCCATCCCTCTCGACGAGCTCACCACCTGACTCACTGTGCCCAGCCAGCATGCCACCCAGCATCACAAAGTCAGCCCCTGCCCCTATCAATGAGAGGAAAAGAGATGAATCTGGCCCAGATGTTCACGTGCCCACCCACCCTCAGAAGCAACTCACACCAAATTCTAAAGCCACTAGAGATTCCTTGCCTGGCTTTGCTCTCCCTTTTTGCTGCTTTTGCTGTCTTTCTCTTTACTTTTCCCAGTTGAACAAGACTCACTTCAAGTATTCCAAGAGCAAATGTCTCTAACTGTATAGTGTGAGCAAGGATCACCTGGGAAGCTGTAGAAAATGCAGATCTACAGCCCACTCTCCAGAGCTGGATTTTGTAACTCTGAGGGGCATTTACATTGCCCAACAGCCCAGGGGCTGGTGCAGATGGTCCTGGCCCACATTTGGGAGAGTCCATATCAGAGTTTCAGCTGGCTCGCCCAGATGACACCACCACAGGCTTCCGGGCCATGAGTTCATATTATGAAAGAACCTGAATGGCTTAGCCTGATCCTAGACCCTCAAAGGTGATGCATCGTCTTCTATAGGATCCTCCTCCGGTGCCCTCCCAGTGTCCTTACCGAAAGCCTTAGCCACATCCCCAGGAGCGCTGCAGCCTCCATCCTGCAAAGTAAGAAGCAATGTGAAGAAACAGCATGGATTTCCCAAGCCCTCTCAGCAGTGTCCCAACAGTCCACCTCAAGGCTGACAGGAACCCAGGAGTCCTGATCCACCTCTATCAGAGCTTCCATACCCAGTAGAAAACCCAGATGTTTGGCAGCCTCATGCCCTGCTCTCCCCTTGGACCTTACTGAAATGATGTGGCCTTTGAGGCCATGAGCAGCATCTGCACACTCCATCACTGCACTAAGCTGTGGGTACCCTACTCCAGTTTTCTTCCGGGTGGTACACACAGAGCCTGAGAAGAATGACAAGGATGAGAGAGAAGTGCTCCATAGCTCTGTGCCACTGAAAAGAGCCAATCTCCCCCAGTAAGCCAGCTTACCTGGTCCAATTCCCACTTTGATGATGTCAGCACCAGAGAGGATCAGCTCTTCCACCATCTCTCCTGTTACCACATTCCCTGCCTAAGAGCAATCAAAACAGCATTCTTAGGGTCAGAAATGAAGAAGTTGTGTGCTCTCATATGTAGCAGGCCTGGACCAGGTCCTTCCAACATTATTACAAAGAAGGGTACCTGGCTTCCCTCTGCTGGGCCCTCTGAGAGCTTTTAGATCAGCCACTTCAAAGGATCCTGCTTCCCCAGGTGAGGTAAGGGGGTTAGTCACCAGTGTCACTGTTGCATTAGGGTAAAGCTGGGGTCCAACTGGACCAAGATGAATTCTGATTTACCAAAGAGACCCAAAAATGTCCTGCCCTTAAGCTGTTAAGTGATAAAACCTCTCTGGCTTAGGGGAAAGGGGAAGACATGATGATGTAGGCTATATACCCATCTACATAGCTGTATTTACTTTTGTTTTTTTGTTTTGTGTATATGCTTCTGATGAACAGAAAAGAGAGCTCCCTCAATGCTTGTGAAGAAAATGAGGTCTTGTAGTCATTCCCCTAAGCTTGTAAAAAAATGCGTTACATGTGATTCCTTTAATAGGACTGTAGTATGTTCATTTCAGTAGGCAGGTAGACATATCACAGGTATGTACAATGCATAAGCACATCATTATTTGGTGAGTAACATCAGGAACACTAGATTTACAAAGACAATGTATCAAGTCAGAGATTGCAATAACCAATAAGTATTTTAAGCATGGCACCTTGGATAATCACCAGTGACATGATTAAACAGACCAGGAAAATCAAAATGCAGCAGAGGAGAAATGAACTGATGTAACAAAAAGGAGTGGCACAAAAGGGAAAGAAGGCGGAATGTACCATCTACAGGGTAACAGAAACATACCATGATGGTGTGTCCAGGGAAGCGTTTCCGTACATCCTTCACAAATTCAACAAAGTGTTCAGAGTAGCCATTTGCCACGTCCAGGCATATATATTTCACCTGGGGAATACCTTCCAGGATCTGTTCTAGCTGCTCAAAGTCAGAAGAGCCTGTGCCTGAGCTGGCAGCCAGATGCTGTGGGAGAAGCAGGGGCATTGGCATGGGAGGCATTAGACAGCTGTGGCATGTTTGGAAAACCTGATGAGCAGTCTAAGAGTTGATCCCCAGGAAGCCAAGAAAAAAATTGTGGGAAAATGGGATAAGAAGGGATCACAGGAGGGCCAGTATTACCTCAAGACAGTCAGGATTCTGGCTGGCAAACTCTTTCCACTGCTCCAGGCTGTAGTGTTTGTGGACAGCAGTGAAGAGGGAGAACTGAGGAGAAGAAAGAGCCATCAAAAAGGAGAGAACTTTATTAGGATTTCTTTTTCTAGAAGTAGACCTTTGTACTATTCTATCTGAGGGAGAAAAGGACTGAGGTCTGGAAAGAGAAACTTAAAGAACTCAGGGGTTGAGGTGAGATTTTTGTTCAACCATTTGTCTCCCTACAAATCTCAGTAGGACTTTTTACCATAGCTAGTACTGCCAAACACTTCCACCAAAGTACTAAGTTACCTGGTTTGGATTTCACCTGCCAACACATACAGTGCTTCTGACTTAAAAGGTGACGGATAAAAAAAAAAAAAAAAAAAAAAAAAAAAGGTGACAGGACAAGCTGTTGGTGCAAGAGGACAAGGAATAGACAAGAACCATGAAGATCCCAGACAGAGCCAGTGTCTGCCTAATCTCTGGTCAGTTTACCCACAGCAATTCAGTGAGTCAAAATGCTCACAAAAGGTGCCCTGGCTGGGTGGCTCAGTTGGTTAGAGCATCGTCTCATGTGAGGGAGGTTGGGGGTTCAATTTCCAGTTGGGGCATATACCTGGGTTGCAGGTTCAATCCCCTGGTCAGCACATACCTAGGAGGCAACCAATCAACCAATCGATGTGTCTCCCTTACATTGATGTTTCTATCTCCTTCCCTCTCCCTCTCTCCCTTCCTCCCTCTAAAATATATATATATAAAAATTAAATGCTCACAAAAGGTAAGACCTTAAGTTTAATGGAGCCAATTAGATGCTACCCCATCCTTTCTCCATCTCCACTGGTGTAAAGGACAAATTTTCTTGAGACATGGACCAACCTGAAAAGTTTATTTCATTTGATCTATTTCAGTCAACCAAGTTCAAGGACATAATGACTCACTGGACTTGTATTTTCTAGCTCAACAAATTGCAAACAATATCCCAGTACTTTGAGAAAGGCATTCAAAAGCCACTGTGAATGCTGGTGTTTGTGCTTTAAAAGTGCAGGCATGCAAACAAATTAGACAGCAGTTAACTGAGACAGCACAAGTCTTGCAACTGGCAAGAAATCCAAGGAAGTTATGCATCAGCCAGCAGTAAGGAAGTGTTACTGTTATACTCAATCAAAGATCACCACCAACACTACCTTGCTGGTATTGAATTCTCAGCAACACTCTGCCATCAACATGCTGACAAAGGAAAATCACTCTAGGAGGTCAGCAGACCTTAGAGATATGCTGGCATAGTGTCACATGATAAGCACATCCAATTACATACCAAACTACAGATCTAAAAAAGATGTACCCAACCTTTTAATTATTACTGTGAGACTTGACTCTATCTCTAAAATCTGATTTCTTTAGCACTCAGTAGTATTTAAAAGCCAGTCTCAACACAAAACATTAAAACAATGCCCACAAGTTCGATGTGTTACAGCATGTCTATTAATACTGCAGTCAGATTCACCATTCCTCAACTCAACAGGGTAACAGCAGGATTCCTAAATAGTTAGTGCACAGCAACAGCAATACAGTACTGAAACAATAACTACCAACCTCCGAGAAATGACAGCAGACATTCCACAGAGACTCAGAAGTAAAGAAATGGAGATGAAGTCCTGAAGGTTAAGAGCCTCAAGCAGCAACAGAATCCCATCAACCAGGGCTACGTGGATTAACCAGAAGAGTGCATGTTCGCACGAGTACCCAAAGTAACTATCTACCTTCTCAACTACAATATAGAAGCAGGTAATATTACTGACAAGAGTAGCATCTTCTACTTTGAAAGTGAACAATAACCTGTATATAAGAAAAACAGCCCTAACCGGTTTGGCTCAGTGGATAGAGTGTCAGCCTGCGGATTGAAAGGTCCCAGGTTCTATTCCAGTCAAGGGCATGTACCTTGGTTGCGGGCACATCCCCAGTGGGGGGTGTGCAGGAGGCAGCTGATCGATGTTTCTCTCCCACCGATGTTTCTAACTCTCTATCCCTCTCCCTTCCTCTCTGTAAAAATAATCAATAAAATATATTAAAAAAAGAAAAGAAAAACACATTCCATTTTGGGCACATCCCAGAAACTCCAAGGAACCTAGGACTTAAAATTAAGAAGATTAAAAAAAAGAATAGGCATATTATAAAATTAATAAGCTTCTCTCTAGGATTTCCTAGTTAGGAATTTTTAAATGCTCAAAATGTATTTCGTTTCTGGACTAAAACAGTGAATGTTTAGTTTCCTAACAATGATGTAACAGGAGAGATGCATGTGATTTGGAGGGGGTGACCTGGGGCTAAAGTTGGCAAGGTGCATAAAACTGCCGCCCAGGCCCGGCCCATGTGGCTCAGTGGTTGAGCATCAACTCATGCACCAAGAGGTCACTGGTTCGATTCTGGTCAGGGCAAATGCTGGGGGTTTCAGGCTCAATCCTCAGCAGAGGGCATGGAGGAGGCAGCTGATCAATGTTTTTCTCTCATTGATGTTTCTCCCTCTCTCTAAAAATCAATAAAAACATCAATTGATCAGAAAAAAAGTGTGACACCCTATATATCAGAAAAATAGGATCAAAACTTAGCTTTGAATCTCATTAACTTACATGGCTCTTTGAACTTACTGGAGAAAATAGTAAATTAGAGCATCCAGATTGTTAACTGCCAGAGAGTTGATCTGGGATGGGGAAGGGAATGCCAATAACTCTGCACTCAGTCCAAACAGCTGGACATCATTGAGGAAGCAGCTTAAGAGAAGTCCTACCTTACAGAGGACCTTGGCCATTTCAAAGGTGCCCACAGTGTCCATGTTGGCAGCAATGATGGGGATCCCAGTGTACATCTGCTTTGAGTTGCGAAATGAAAAGGATCTAGTGAGATCCACCTGCAGATATGAACAGGAAAAATGAGCAGTTCATTCAACCAAGAAACAACTACTGCATGAGGAAAAATGCCAGGAATCTTCCTCAGTCCTGGTTCACCAGGGAAAGCGGGCTCACCTCACTTCGAGACTTAAGGGTACTGCGTTTGGGCCTCAGCAAGACGTCCTTGAAGTCCAGTTTGACGTCGTTGTCTATGTGAGGCATGGCTGGGGCTTCGGGGTAGCAACGAATCTGTGGGTTGGAAGGTAAGGAAAGACGAAAAGGGGGAGCTGAGTCAATAACAAGCCTTAAGGCCCTGTTAGGGCTGGCGGCAGGGCTCATCTCTCTCCTCGCTTAAATTGTGCAAAGTCGGGGCACTGGTCGAGGCGTGGTCGATCCCTGAAGACTGCCATCTTCGACCGGTCCCACAGTCGCGATTACCCTCGGGGTCTCCATCCCAGGAGAGAAAAATTGGGATGGAATCGTGAGTGACCCAAACAGGTACATTCTTTACACTACTTTTCCTTCTCCCTCCAGGGAAATAAGTAATGAGGGAAGAGAGTGATTTGGGGGCGAGAGGAATGGGGAAGGGGTCCCACAACCTGCTTCCGGAATAGGGGTACTCACTTCCTGTGGCCGTGGCCGAGATGGCAGTTGACCGAAATTCCCCTTGCTTAGCAACGATCCTCTAAGCCTTGTGGGCCACGCCAACAGGTTCCGCTAATTGCGGGCGAGAACGATTAACTGAGGAATTCCAGCTTCGGCAGCGGCTGTGCGAGGTCTTCTGTTAACGGAATTCACACACTGAGGTTGCCGTTGGCCTGAGAAGCAGGAGACTACAACTCCCAGGGTGCAACGCGCGGAGCTGCCCGCAGGCAGGATGGGAGAAGTAGTTCGTTCCGCCCCGTCTTCCCACTCTAGACCCAGCTCTCTGGGGACTCTCAGAGTCGTGAAGGCGTCATCTCTGCTCTAATTAAGCTAGCCACCTTCTTTTTCTTTAGGACGCCACCGAAAGGAAACGCGGGGAGCATTTCTGAGCCTTTGGGGACTCCCGGGGAAAGAAGGGGTGGGGTGGAGCCAGCCAATGACCCGGAAGCAGAAGTGACTCCCACCGACAGAGTGCTGGGGAGCGGCAGCAGCCACCGCAGCGGTAGAAGCAGCAATTTATTTGTGTGCCGACCCAATATCGGAAGAAGATGCTAATTAAAGTGAAGGTGGGAGCATCTCCAGCTTTGCCAAGAGGCAGTGGTACTGGGCTGGCCGCTGTGCCTTACGGGAGAAGCGGGGAAGGGAAACCACGCCTTTCCCGAGCCTTTAGGGCGCTGACACCCTCAGGGCTCCGCGCGAGGGGTGATGGGAAGTGGGGGGACTCTTCACGTCTTTGATGGCGAGGGCCCAGCTAAGTGACCGCGGGGTTTCCGTCTTTCCTGCTTTCTCGCCAGACGTGACATGACCCTGAAGGCCTCCTTTGCCAGGGTTCTCGCTGTATCCAACCCCCCCGCGCCCAGGGAAAAGACCTAGCAGCAGCTTGGCTCCACTCTCCCTTAGATTCTTGGAATAAGCCCAGGTCTCCGTGCTTCGTGCCCAGGTTACCTACTCCTCCCAGTCCGAGCACAGCACAAAAACGTTAGCCT